TAACAAAAGTTGATATCTTCACATCAGCCACGTCACAAACCGTATAAAGCATTCAAAAAAGAGCATGAAACAACTGGAATTTTAAAAGTAGGCTCCAAGGGGGAGCGTGTGTCTATGCCCCATTTCCTAATAAAGTATCCACATGGAGATTCGGTTATCAGGAAATGGGTGGTGTTTTTTAGTTTGCTTGTTTGTTTGTTGTTATTATGGTACACATCATAATAAGACACATGACCCATCATGCGCCTCCACCATATTTATCATTTATCATTTCAGCCATTTTTAACTACCAAACAATAGCATAGTGTCTAGGCCCCAGAGGGGTCATAGACACAAAAACCTAATTCTCTGGTTTATAAAATAATCCATATATTTACTACTTAAGTTATATATAAAACGATTAGTAGAATACAACTGTATCTCTTGATTAAAATGAAAGATAATAACTTTTGTTGTGACATGTTTATTATAATTGACACGGTTTGTGATTCATGATTCCACGTCACGTTGTTGACTTATATCGATAGTCGTGCAAGATTAAGCACGACCATCTTCACAAAATTCCACCTCCCCATACCACACCTATTCAACTCTAATGCTTCGTTCCCACATTCAGTACAACAACCAACTATCTTGCCTATCCCATCTATCCCACTTCGAGCCATGCTCTTGTAATGATTGTCACATACCTCACTCTAGTTCCGTTGCCTCTGGTTTCGTTTGGTATAATCAAAGATACTAGAAATACAAGATGGAGTTCTCCACAGAAAAAAAAGTGTTCCACCGTAATGCATGGTGGGAATACAAACAATGGGGCGCCCCGTATGGCTGGATCTAAAAAACTTCTACCAAACCTTTGTTACCAAGTCGTCGCGTATATTTAATTGTCAATTCTCAATTAAAAAATTCTACACCGCGATGCGCTATGGCGAAGTACGGCTTTGGAGGACGTTGCTGTGCAATAAATTGCAACAAATTATACAAACAAGGTTATCATTTATATCGTTTTCCGAAGGATAGAGAAAGGTAAAATATTACACTGACATTAAACAAAAAATTAGCTATATATTATAAATAATATTAACATTTTCACAAACTGGAATAGACACCCAGACAGTGACATCGGTGAATACATAACCTCATTGGCGGAGGTAGAAATCGTTGCTATTATCCAATTAAAACCCAAAACAATTAAGCCTAATCATGGATCAGTAAACAATAAAAGAACAATATAGCGCAGAATCGTATGACCGGACGCACTCTAGTGATAAAGTTTTCCTCCATTAGTGGAAAAATAAGGGTGCCGTGTGCGTCTGGATATACTTAGCAACAGAAGGGCGCCTTGTACGCCGGGTCCTAGAAGGGCTCCGCCTACGTCGGGCCCAATTTCTGCCTCATTTTTTACTATGCGAAGTGCTCTAACAAGCTAAGTGGTCCGGAGCTACGTTTTTGAACGCTGCGTTCACATCGCTCACGGAACACGGTTATGCGGTTTAATATTCGAACTGTTCGAACCAACCAAGCTTGTTGCCGATTAGTCCAAGGGAAAAAAACGTACGATTTTACGATACAAATGACTCTCAGATCCATCGGTCTGGATCCGGAATCCGGATTGGAAATCGTACGAATTTGATGTGAACGCTCCTATTGTTTACCACTGAACCCATTTTTTAGGACTTTTTGTCCGGGTACCGGACCGGATCCGGGCTTTGATGTGAACTTAGCTTAACACAGAAGAGATACGATTTATCCCATCATGCTTTAGGCAGAACTTGCCTAAAGTCAACAATAATTTACACACTACAATTGTAATTATTATTTTCATTATTATCATCATAATCATCATCATATGATTGTTATAATTCTTATTATTATTTTTATGTTATCATTATTATCCATAATGCTCACTATCTTGCCTCACATTACTATGATATTGGCTACATGTACCTACATTATAATACTTCTTGTTGATTTGACACAATAATTTGTTCACAACTTAAACATAGACACCAATCTACGTAATTACTGAGTACCTTTACAACAAATATGAACACGATTTCAATATAATTTCTAAGGGTATCAATATATAACAAGTGTGCTACATTACCACGATATCAAATTATTATCTCCTTGTAGACCACTTAGAATTCGCGTTAAGGCCAATATTTTATTCTTTCGCAGATAAGAGGGATTACACTTCGTCGTTTTGATTTAAATTTAGAGGTAGACAATATCATGTGAAATTAAAAATTGAGTTGAGTATTATAGACAATAACATAAGAGGGTTGTAATATTTTAAAGCTCTGTACAGATTATCAAATTTTCATTCGTCAAAAAAAACTGTTGTATGCCCATGGTG